GTCTCACCTTCGCCTCTCCTCGCTCTCTGCCTGGTCATCTCCAACGTGGTGATCAGGCCTCAGCTCAAAAATTCCTTCCTGACCCCTCGGTGGAAAGCAGGTCCCCCTGCCAGCCCTGCACCCAGTTATTCTCTGCCCCAGCTCCTACCTCGTTTATTTGCTTCTCTGCCTGCCATCGCGCAAGCTCCTGCGGCCTGCCGGAGAGTGCGTTCGGTGCCTGTTTCCTGACTAATTGTTTTCCTCCCCCTACCGTTGTCAGTCTCTTGTTTCTGAACCTCTCATGTGTGGTCCTCCTGCCCTGTCCAGGCGCCTCTGGAATGTTCTGCTCCACTGGCCTGCCCCTTAAATGGACACTGCTGTCTGCACCCCCTGTGCCTGAGCGGAGAGGAGAGGCCTGCACACGCGCCCAGATGCTGGCTCTCCTCTCCAGCTCACACCAGTTTCAGGGCAAACATGCCCTGTCTTCCCACCGCGATCCAGTCCTGGTCCTGCTTTCTTTCATATTTCTGGCACTGACCGAGTCAGGGAGCTGGGGTCTCTGTGCTCCGTGGTTGTGTTCACGAGGTCTGCCCTCCTATTCTGCCAGGGCCCAGCTTCGGGGCAGGGGTGGAGGGGGTCCTCAAGGGGCCAGGCTCTTCAGGTTTCAGGAGGGCATGCTGTGTCTTCCTGTGTGGGTGTCGCCTTTGCCATTGTGAGGTGGCCGGAGGTGGGAGGGAGGTGGCCCCGGGGGCCCATCTGGGGCTGTGCTGGCTGGGTGTGTTTCAGCTTCCCGGCTACACTCCGAGGAAGTACACCCCCACATTTCTTGCTAATGAATTACTTCCCAAGGTGCAGGGATCTGCACAGAGATGGCAAAGCCACCATCCTGGTGGGATGGCAGCAGCCAGAGGGCCTGCTCCGGGTCCTCTCCCAGCCAGGGTCTGACAGGTGGTGGGGGTGGGGGTGGAGATGGGCCGTGGGCCGCTGCGGGTCTGCGGGTCTGCGGGGCCGCACTGAGCCGGAGCCCTTACCGCCACACACAGTTGTCAGAGGTAGATGTAATTAAGCAGCGGGCCGGGAGCCTAACAGCCTAAATGGACCACTTATCCTGAGGAGGGCTGAATGGCCAATTAGTGGCCCTGGGAGCAGGATGGGAGCTTTATGTGGCAAGCCGCTTTTGTCTTCACTAAGGAAGCATTAGGCCCATGTGGGCATCGGGGCTCACCTCACACCCGGGTCACTCATCCAGGTGATCGGGGATGTCTGGGCTGCTAGGCAAGCCATCGGGGTGCCCTCGCTGGCCTGGGTCAACCTGGCTGGTGCTCCCCCACCAGGGGTCCTGGGCATGGGACCCCAACAAGGCGCTTCCTCTGCTCCCCACTGGAGATGTGCAAAAGACCCTCTGGGACCTTTGGTGACAGTCACGTTGTGTTTGGACCCCTCTGCTTGCCACATGTATTTCTCCTTATACTTCCTCCCCTCACTGGACGAACACGTGCCAAGGGTTTCCTGGGTGTCAGACCCCATTCTGGGCATGAACACATGGTAACCAGACAGCCTCTGGCATGGTGGGGCCTATGCACTCATTTGGGGCAGAATAACAATGACAGGGCACAGGCTGACGGGGCTGGGGGCTGTGGGAACACACATGCAAAAATCTTTGAGTCTGTCACTCACGTACCTGGTTCATGATTACTTAGCACTTACCATATGCAGGGTATCATTCTAATGGCCTTATGTGTATTATCTCATTTAATCCCGAGTATGCCCCTGTGGTGGTTATCATGCCATTTTACAGACAAGGAACTTGAAGCTCAGCTTGAACTCTGGTAAAGAACTGTCTAAAGTCACATAGCTAGTAGGTGGCAGCACGAGGATTTGAACCGGTCTGACACTTAACCAGCAGGCCACAGCCTTCTTAATTGTGTAGAGGTGATATGTGTGGGGCTCTGCGGAAGGAAGAGAAATCAAGGAAGGCTCCCTAGAGGAGGAGACCATTGAGCTGGGAGTGGGGTCCTGTGTCCAGCAGGTAGGGAGAGTGGAGGGCATGTGCCCTCAGTTCCGAGATCAGCCCGTGATCTGGAATGCCAAAAGCCACTCGAAGAGAATGTTTAGGTGATAGATGGAGGCCCCCCTTCTATGTGGCTCCTGTCCGTGTACAGAGTTGGGTGATCGGGAGACTTAGCTCCATTGGACAGTCAGACAGAACTGACTCCCATGGCTGAGGGAACTGTCCTCTGCACCCCTCCCTGGGGCGGGGTCAGCTTGAACTCTGGTTCCGCAGAGACAGGAGGAAGGGGCAGCCCTGCCATGAACTAGTTCAGCCAAGCACGGCACCCACCAGCTCAGGGTCCCTGGCAATGCCCTCAGCCAGCTGCAGACAACGGCAAGCACTGGCCCAGCCTGAGCTAAGCTAGCTGCATGAGAAGACATGATTTAGGACACCCCCTTCCCCTGACACCAAAAACTTAACAACAAAACTTGCTTTGCAGGGAAAAGTCCTCCAAACCCATCTTCAAGAGAATGACTGAGGGAGTCACCCCACAGACCCTGTCCTGCCTGAAACCCAAGGACACTGGCAAAAAAGCAAATACAATTTCAAAGTCTCCACCTTTGCCAGCCCATCAGCTCCAGGTTTTAAAATTAAATCCAAAATGTTGTTGCCAGAATGTGTGTGATATTACTTTCTGAGTTTTAGTGAGGTTTCTATAATGTCCATTGATGTCTGGGTAATAAGTTGTACCTATATGTCTCATTTCAATTACCTATTTAACATTCACTGAACCATAAATCCATTCCCAGAGCTGAGGGGATTCAGTGTAGAGTTCCCATGACTTTGAAAAACCATTGACGCCACATGCTCTGTGTGGCTGCACGTCAGGACTTTATGGCTGGGTTAACTCATTTTGTGGCTTCCGTAATGGCTGTGAGTTTACATTTTATTGCATATCTATTTTTTTGGATTGGGCTGTGATGAATGGTTTGGCTGCCTGGTTCAAAACAAGTCCAAGGGGACAGCAGAATCTAATTTGCTTTAAAAAATGATGATTATAAAGCTTTTCAAATAATAATTCAGGAATGAAGGAGACAGACACCACATGGCTCTGCATGGCTGGAGGCGAGGTGATGACTTCCCTCCTTTTACACAGGTAGCTCATGTTTATAACGACCTTCATTAGGGGGCCCAGGGAGGCCTCCTCTTTCATCCCGGGCAGCCAGGACACTTGCATTTCCTGGAGAGTAAAGCCGATAGTTTGCTGCTTGGCCCTGACTGATTCCCAGGAACAGAACTCATGGGGCAGAGGCTTCTGTGGTACTGGGAACCAGGACGGAGCTGAGCAGCCCCGTGCTCCACTTAGTGATGTCATCATGGGACATCTAAGTCCTGATGCCTGGTGCAGCCTCCAAGTCCTCGACGTCCAGCCTTGGTGCCTGGCTCTGAAAATGTGCTTTTTCTTTCTGAGCATCTTTTGCAGAGGGGCGAGACACCAGAAAGCATTGCTGGGAAAGTCTCAGAGCTGTCCCTCAGGACACTGGTTGCTGCTCTCCCTGTCATCTGCCCTGACCTCTTTTCTCCTCTGGTTCCTGTTTTCTGGGATTAGAATCATCAGGGGGTCTCTGGGGAAGGTGGAGAGAATATTGCAGGAGTTTGTGCTAAGGACAGGAGGGAGGGTCTTGTCCAGTGATGGGCAGGTCAATGCTTAACAACTGGCTCCCCAGAGGAAAAAAAGTTCCCCCCACTTTTGTAGCATTTGTGTGGTATAAATTTCTGTGGCGTAAATACTCCCACCATGGCTGGTTTAAAGCTATCAATTGTTTAACTGCAAAATTCCTGAAAATCTAATTGGCTCTTGTGAGCTGGGTCTAGCGAGCTGCTGATACCACCACACATTCTAAAATTCAGAGATTTATTTCAAGGCATAAATTACTCTATCCACAAAGCGGACAACTCCCACAGCAGGTGAAGCCTACCAGTCACTCACACCTCATTATGAACTAGTATACGTCAATGTGAGTGTCAGGAGCGGGCAGGGAGGGGGATGACGGGGAACCACAGCTGGTCACAGGATATCAAGCAGAGCCCTGTAATTGGGGTTAGAGGGATGCTGTGAACTGGAAAGGCACCCCTGTGTCAAGCTCACGGACACCACCCAGAGGGGACAGCCACACTCCCTTCTTTGCTCATGTCACGGGAGTACCTCTGCCATCTACCACAAGAGCCCTTCCTGCCAGCCAATCATGAGGCCTCCCTCCCAGGCCTGGTGAACGTTCGCAGTAACGGCTCCGTGTCAATGCAGAGCAGGAATACTTTTCTGGAAGGTGGAACTCCAGGTAGAGGCTGGGGTTGGGGGAGAGGATGCTGTGCTTCAGAGTCCTCAGCGCACCCTGGGGCTTTCACACTTACTCCCCACATCCCAGGGCCTGCTGTTAAGAGCAGGGGGGTTGCAGATGGCGTCCGACGGTGCCTCACGCAGGATGCACGTATCACCAGCTTTAAGCAGAGGCGGAACGTTCTCTGACATAAAGGGGCTTCCTCTCTTTGGGACCACCCCTCTCATCTCAAGTTCGGGCCTGGCAGCGCCCTCCCCTCTCCTCACTGCTGAACTGCATGAGGTCTCTGCTGAAGCTCCCTACTCCTGCCTGGCCAAGCCTCCAGAACCCTCCTGCAGGATTTGATTTTGGTGTGGCCGGGTGGCAGCCTGGGAAAACCCTAAAAGCCCCTCCCTCCAGGAGCAGTCATAGACGACCGCCCCCAGAGCGTGTGGCAGTGCCCCCCCCCCGCCCGCCCTGACACACTTACATCACAGTCCTGGGCTTCTCCAACAACACCAAGAAGACCCTTTCTTCAAAAAGAGCAGAAGCAAGCCCTCCCTCTTCCCACCCATGCTTCCTCTACCTTGTTCCTAAAGCTCAGGCTTGTTGCAAAACAAATTCCAATGCTTTCGTGTATAAAAGAAACCAGGGCTGGCGACCAACCAGGACAGGCCCCAGAGCCAGAGCCCACCCTGGCGCCGACTTACGGAAGGCTGTGTAGAGCTCGTGGAGCGTCAAGAAGCCGTCACTGTTGGAGTCATCAAATCGGAGGAGGTCGCCGGGCGAGCACCCCAGGAAGTCCGCCTCCAGGTCCTGCTCCTTCGGCACGTGCTGTGGGTGAGGAAACGGGTGAGGCCAGAGCAGGGAGTAAGGGCAGGGCTGTGGACCTGGCTCAAAGATGGCTCAGGCCAAGAGGGGCTGGGGTCGCCCCCCTGAGGGAGGGGTGAGGGCTCCCGTGGTAGCTCCATGGGCCATGCGGAGCACCCCATGCTCTCTGGTTTTCTCTCGCCTGAGCCTCTCCTTCTAGAGATGAGGCTCAGAGAGGGCAGGGACTTTCCCGAGGTCACACAGGGGTTGGGGCAGAGTCGGAATGAGCGTTCAGATGTGTTTTCTCCCCATCTGGGCGGGCGGACCCCAGACACTCTCGGTTGGGCACGATCCTTGAAGAGCCTGGTCTACCCCTTCATGCCGCAGATGGGGAAACAGGAAAGAGAAGGGGCCAGATCAGACAAACGTCTGATCCCACGGCTCCCAGCTGTGTAGGGCAGGAGGGTCACTGCTGCATCGGTGCATGCCTGCCCAGCCCCCCAGCCAGCCCTTCCCGGCCTCAGGGCAGCACCTGGGAGCCACCAGAACCCCTCCCCACCCCGAAAGGGGCAGCTGCCTCGCTACTGACTGGGGCTGAGCTCCCCGCCTCTGCCTACCCCATTCTGCCAGGGGCACAAGCGTCTGCCCGTGGGACGCTGGCATGGGGCTCTGGATGTGCCCTGGTGAACTTTTCTCTGGATGTGGCCTCCCCAGCACGATCAGCCACATGCCAAAATGAGACTCTGTGTGGAAATTCCAGGCACCCCTCGCTCAGCTGGAGCCAGAGGATGGGATGTCCGGGACTAAAGTCTTGCAAGGAAAATGCTCAGAATAAAATCTTAGAAGAAAGAAAATTATTTCATTTTATTTTGGAGGGGCAGGGGGACAGAGACATTTTCTCTTTATTTAACAGTCTCAGCTTGGCCTGCTATACTAAGGGCAATTTAATGTGATAACGTTAAAAAAAATGACCCCTCACCCAGCAAGTAAGTGTTCAATAAAAGGGAGATCAACCATAGCGCTGGAAATCAATCTTGTAAAGATGGAAATTTCCCCTTGTCTATTTCTGCATTGGAAATTGATTAACTTTTCATAGGACCGACACGTTTTTCCCTGACGCCTTTGATTCAGTGTCAAGGAAAGGCCCTCTTTGCTGGGCTCCGCTTGGCAGGTTTGTGAAATGGACTTAAAATACATTAAATTTTGAAGAGGAAATCATAGTCCAATTACCATGCTTGTTAATGGCTTCAGGTGCCTCTGGGCACATCCCCACCAGGTCAGAGCAACAAGCCCACGAAGGGTCTGTTTACCTGTCAGCCACCTGGGAGCCCTGTAGGGCTGGGGTGGCAAGAGCCCTCAGGTGCTTCTAAGACAAGCCAAAGCCACCTGTGTTTGGTGCTCCCTGCATAGCATCTAGTGCGGGGGCCTGCCAGATGGTTCTTTCACGTAACTGTAACTGACGGGGCCTGGGCTTTTCCCAGGGTGGCGTGGGTCATCTGTGCGTGGCTGGCCCTGCTCCTTGGGGTTTTCGCCATAGCTGGGAGCCAAGTACACCTGCAGGTGGTGGTATGATAGCTGCCAGGGCTGGGATGGTGTGTGCCTGGGAGGCTGTGGGCAGCAGGCCTCCTGAGAGGCAGGCTCTGGATGGACTGGCACGTGTTGCCCACGTGTGGACAAGCAGAGCAGGGTCTGCAAGTGCCTGAGGATCTGCGGTTCCCAGCGCCCACTCTGCAAGCAGACTCTGGGCTGGCTGGGGTGGACGGCCTTGAGAGGGGGACCCTGCATGGCCAAGCCTCCAGGTGACTGCTTTGTACTCAGGTCTTGTGGGCACTTTCTGGCGTCAAAGACCTTGGGAGGATAGAATGGAGCCTTCTGGTGGGCGCCATTCTCCCCCAGGGAGACCCCTGTGTGGTGAGGAGAGCAGGGGCCCGTGTATCAGCCCGCCTGCGTCTCGTCTGAGTGCCATCACGTTCTTGGCAGTGAACACAGGTCGGGCAAGTTGCTTGCTTTCTTAGAGCTTTGGTTTCCTCATCTAAAAGTATCTGTGAAGTGAGGATAACGGTAGCAGCGGAGGATGACTGAAAGGGTTAAGGGGGAAATAATAACAAAGATAATGACGGTGGCATTGACCCCGAGTACTCCCACCTACTCAGAGTGTGCTACGTCCCAGGCACCATGCAGAACACCTCATGTGCCTTAGCTCCTTTCACCCGCCCGCTGACCCTGGGGCGGTCACAGACAAGAAACAGAGGTGCAGCGAGGTGAGGTGGTCTCCCAACACCCACTAGCTAGTCAACACCGGAGGCAGGGCTGGAACTCAGGAAGCCTGACCAGAAAGTCTGTGTTCTTAGAGACTACACTACACGGTAAGGGACTCTTCTGTTTCCTATGTCATAAGTAAAGGGCCTTGCTTAGTGCCACGCACGTCGAGGATGCTCGGTAAATGCTAGGGCACTCCCCGGCCCCGTCCTTCCTACTGACCTGGCCACAGCTTTTCTAAGGTCACTGTGCTATGGGAAGGATGTCTTTAAAGTGGCATTGAAGGTGGGGACTCATCTATAGTTATCTATCCTTTGGGTGGGCATTCTGCGGGCTCTGAGGAAAAGCTGTCCCCACCCCACTAGCCAACTTGGGGAGGCTGACCTCACCCTGGCACCTGCCTGGTGTGGCTCCAGGCCATAAGAGGGAGACCAGCAGAGTGGGACAGGAATGCAGGTCTTTCTGGCCTACCTGGCCTGCCTGTCTGCCAGCATCCTAGAGACCCTCCCTGCAGCCGGTCACTGCCCCAGCACCACCTCCAAGCTGGAGACAGGGACACGTGTGCTGTGCTTGGGGAGGGAGGCAAACCACCGGGTCCAATCCCAAGTGTCCGCTCAAACGGAAGGGCACAGCTTGGGGGGTGGGCAGCGGGGGATGCAGGGCTTCCTGCAAGTAAGCGGCCTGGGTGTTGGGTTGTGGATATCTGGACCCTACAGAATGGCAAGGTCATAGGGGGAGGACTCAGGGATGCCCAGGTGATAGCCCCCAGCCCCTACTTCCTTTCAACATTCCTGCTAAGGAAGGCAGAAGACTCAAGGAAGAGATTTATTTCCTAATGAAAACATCAGAGACTAGCCCCTCGGAAGTGCATCTTTTGCCAGCTAGCTGAGAGCACTTCAAAGCTTGTCAATATTGGCTGAAGGTGGCTGGTGGGAAGAAGGCACTGACGTGGGTTTGTTTATAAGATATTCTCGGAGGCACTCAACACAAGCTCTCTGACTCCCAGGGGAAGGTCTGCTCTTGCCAGAGAGAGGCCTCCTTAGCGTCCCGTTAGAGAGACAGTTACAAACAATTCTGCTCGCAGGGATCTCCCCGGTTCTCTTTATCTACACCCTGGATGGAAAAACCTCCATAATTCGGTGTTCAGCGAGTACCGTACGCACCTGCGCCAGTTCAGAGCTGCTGAGGTGGCCGTCCCCGTCTGCATCCAAGTCCGTAAACAGAGATTCCACCAGGAGGCGCTTCTGGGAGGCTGGGTCTCGTCTGCTGTCCCCATCTGGGAGCGGCTTCCGGCGGGTCTGGAGCGCCAGAAGGACATTCTTCAGGCGGGCGTAGTCGGCCATGGTGCACTGGTCAGCTGGAAGAGACGGTGAGGTTACTGCCTCGAGGCTTCTCCTCTGGTGTAGAGAAGAGTGTCACCCATCCCACTCAGGTAGCGTTCTTGGGCATTTACTGTGGGCACAGTGGGCACACCTGGAGGAGATGGGGCCGGTCTGTCTGTCTGCCTGCCAACCCATCCCGTCGATAGTTACTGAACACTGAACACACGCTTCACAGGACACACGTGCTGGAAGGAGCCAGTTTGCTGGTCCCACAAATACTTACTGAGCACCTACTACATGCCAGACTCAGGGCAATTGCCGGATGCAGTGGGGAGGCTGGTCCGGGGGAATTCACAGCCGCGGCCCACGGCAGCTTTAGGAAAGCCGGCCCCGGTTCTATTCTGTAATAGCTCGTCTTTGCCTTAATCCCACCTTAAAGGCTGCTTTTGAATACTTGGCTTCAGAGATGAGGGAATTTGAGTTAACAGGACTAATAAACGGTGCTTAAGTTAATTAGGTACACTCTCAGAGCTGGATTACTTCAAAACAAACGTGTGTACACAAGTCTATGACCACGAAACAAAAGGAAGCTTTAAGAAATGAAAACTGGAACACACAGCCTGTGACTCTTCGGTCTTTTATTTTAGGTGTGCTTGCCGATTGGCAGCAGAACCACATGGTGTTTTGGCAAGTGAGGCCCATGATGCACTGTGACATGATGTAGTTTATCTTGCTGGTGACAGGCCCACTGGGGTGAACACCATACGGGGCTCAGCGCATGGCTGAGGCCGTGGGGCTGTTAGCCGAGCAGGATGGTCCCTCTCGGGTGGGGGGAGAGGGAGCGTTTTGGCACTTGGCTTCGCGAAGTCCCGGGGCATGGGCATGGGCTCCTAGCCGCCCACCCCACTGAAGGCCAGTGTGCTGCTGGCTGCATTGCTGGGAAGGGACTGGCGGGTCTGGGGCTCTTCCCCTTCATTCCAAGGCCAGTGGAGGGCACCAGGTAATAGCTCAGGGCTGGGAAGAGCACTGGCCTGGGAGTCCACTGGGTTTGAGTCCTGGCTTTGCCGCGGCCTGAACGTGCACCTTGGACACAGTGCCTCGGTGATTTCACCTGTGAGGTGGGGACGACAGGGGCCTCCACAGGGGGCTCTTGGGAGGGTTAAATAAGATACGCGCATAAAGGGCTCAGGTGCTGGCTCGGCACTGAATCAGGGCAGGTAAAATGATAGCTACTCTCTCCCTCCTTATTATTGAAACCACATTTGCTGAGGAGCAACAAACAAGGAAGCTATTTGGTGGGGAAAGGCTGATGGGGGAGTCTGTCTGTCTGTCTCCTTTCCTCCTTCCCTCCCTAGACAGGCCTCGACAGCCCAACCACTTTTTCTTGTGCTTGTTTGTGTTTCTAGATTTTCTTCTCATTTGGGGTCAATTGATTCTCGTTAGAAACAGATGCCTGTTACCATTTTCTCCTGCGTGATTCTTTAGAAAAAAATCAATTGTTGTGTTCAATATAATCAAATTTATTTGCTCTCTGGGAGTCTTCATGCTCTGAGGAGAAGGGCTCTCCCATCCCCCTAACTTGGCTAGTACCCCTCTTGGGCCTGGGAGGATACCCATTCCTGGGAGCTCTTAGGGCCCCCGATGGGCAGACCTGATTCTCAAGTCCATAGAGGTACACAGTGCTGAGAGCACTGACCTTGTCCCACTACAAACCCACTTCTGCCCAGGGGCTGATGTGGTGGCTGGCTGGCTTTTTCTTCTTCCTGGGCCTGGATAAAAGTCAGTTTAGGGCAAGGGGAGGAAAGCCTCCAGCAGGCTGAACTGCAGTCCCGGCAGATGGAGCAGAAGTGAGGACACAGTATAGGAATGGTGTGGATGGTGAGGGAGGCTCCGGTGGGAAGACCTGCCGGGACCACGCAGAGCCGGGCTCCCTGAGGGAGCGGCGGGGCTGAGTAGGTTGGGCAGATGCATCTCATTCCTCACGGACCGGACCGTGCTGGGGCACACATCCCCTGTGAGCTGCCTGCTGCCAGGCAGGGCTCCCACACTGGCAAGCCAGGGAAAGTACTGAGGTGGGTCCCGTCGGGGGGAACCGAAGCCATCTCTCCAGGCTCTGCTCCTCCTCCTCCTACACCCCTACAGTTCCCTGTGAGTTCAGAGGCTCCTGGCTTTTCCACCCTGGCACTGCCCAGTACACACCTCCTGGTCAGGAAGGTATGCACATGTCTAGAAATCAATCTGGAGGAAAGGGGTGGGGAAGGGTCTGCTCCCCGGGCCCCTGGCCTTGCCCCCTGCTAGGGCCCACACCGGCCATGCCGCTCCCACCTTTTGCCAGCATTTACATTCCAAGTATGTGCCAGATGCCGGTGGCACGCTGGGACACAATAGAGCTTCCCGTCCTGGGCGTCGGAGGTGCCCACAGAGGGGGAGCTCACGAGGCTGGGCTGAAGGCAGCCTCCTTCGGGGAGGGCAGTCCAGCATGAGCCCTGAAGGATGAAGGATGGGGAGGGAAGACCAACAGCAGGAAGGACGCACGCAGAAGCCAGCCGCACAGTGTCTGGAGAAAGCTGGTGCGGGGCAGGGGTGGGGGGTGGGGGGAACGAGACAAGGCTGGAGGGGAATGTGGGGCAAAGGCGGGATGCCAGGCACTTCCTTCGTCCTTCTGTCCTTATTGAGGGCCCTCACCGTGCCTGGAGTGTGTGGGGCCAGAGATGAACCAGGGGGCTCCTGGAAGGGAATCCTAAATCCTTCTTTGTCCCAGAAGCAGTTGCACGTTACATGAATCTCAAATAACGAAGCCATTGGCCCAGTGCTCCTGAGTTCCTCTAGTGTCCCTGTGGCTTTGGGGAGTCATGACCACCAGAGGGAAGACACCCAACGGTGGCATTTCTGTACCCATGGAACTGGCCGTTTTAGTTGAAGTCCCCACCCTCTCATTGGGACACCCTTTGACGCTCCATCTCCAGCAACGACGGTCCTCTGGCAGCCTCTCCCCACCCGAGGCAGGCCTTCGTTCCAGGACACAGAGCAGCCTAGCAAGGCCCATATGAGGGATAGCTTACCAAGCCCCAGTTGTGTTTTTTCCTTCCCGCCCCCTGGTGTCACCACGGGAGCAGACTGGAGTGGTTCATCGACGGGGAGCCGGGGGCATTTGTGGATCGGCTAGGCCTGGCCTTTAGCTAAAGGCTCTGCATGCTGCTGCTCGTTTTAAATAGTTGTCTTATAGAAAAGAAATTTGTGTCCATCAGAGAATGCTTGGAAAGTACAGATGAATACAAAGAAAGAAAAGACATCACTCAAATCCCCCTCCCAGTGGTTGGCATGGGGTTAAGCAGGGCCCTCTGCGCAGGGGATGCAGAGCCCAGGAACCAAATGAGCTGAGCCCCTGGCTGGCCCTTGTCCACCTCACGGAGCCCCGAGGCCTGGCCCACGCAGCTTCTGCTTTCTGATCTTCCTTTTTCCCTTCCCCAGCTTGGACAAGAGAGGGTCAATACCCCGGGGTTGGGTTCTTATCTTCACTGGTTCGTCCCTGACCCCCACCCAGCAAGCCCACACAGGGCACAGGAAGAGGTGGGAGTGTAGAAGACAGACCGGCCACTCGAGCGTGCTCCTGCCCATGGCTCGGCATTCACTCCCCCTCTATCTGGAATGCTCTTCACCCAAATCTCCATGTCCCTGCTGAGACATCACTGCATCTAGCATCCCTGCCCCTATTTGGGGGTGGGCCTGGGTCCCAGGGGGTGAGAAGGATCACCTGTCTCTGAAGTAGGGCAGAGCCCAGGCTTTACCTTTGGCCCTCTGGACCCTTGGCCCTTTGGAGGGAAGGTCCCTGGAGGGGGCATGGCAGAGGCCTGGGGGCCACAACCCTCCTCCCCGGGTCCCTGTGTGTGCTGACCATGATGCTGGTGAGAATGGCAACGGCCAGCCCAGCCTGGGAGCCCCACACCAGGGCTGCTTCCTGCTGCCTGTGCAGTCAGCCTAGAGTAGAGTTCACTTCCCCACTGGCCGATCCACGGCTGCTGGGACTTCCAGAGAGAACTCTGGAGAGCAGGATGCTTGCGTGTGATGTTGGGGGCTCTGCCTGAGCCAGCTCAGCAGGGGCTGCCGAGCTGGGATGTGGAGGGGACCTGTTGTGTGCATCAGTGGGATGGACACAATCCACCCTGCAAACATTTCTCTCCACATGCTAGGAAAGTCATTTAAATGTTTCCTCTGAGTCTTGGTGGCTTCCAGGTAAAGAGAGATTTGTGTCACAAATAAGGGTAGCCTTGGCTAGGTCAAAGCCTCCGATGAGGCTTGGGGAGTTCCAGGGAGGTCCCCTCCGGACCCATAAGCTCACTGAGCTCTGACCACAGCCGAGGCACGGCTGTCTCGGGGCGTTCTCGAAGACTTTCTCTCCTTCTCTTCTTTCTGCTTTCTTCAGGGCCCAGCTCAGCCTCCTTTGCTGGGAAGCCTTGCTCCTCCCGCTTGCACACACAGAACCGCCTCCCTGTCTCCAGCTTCCTACTCTCTGCCCAGTGTGGATGGCTTTTTGTGAGCTTGTCCTCTCAGGTTGGGCTCTGGGCTCCCGCAGAGCAGCCTGTGAGGCAAGGACCTAGACTGAGTAGTATGTTTGGAGATGATCCCAAGAAATGCACAGAAGGAAGAGGGAAGTGAGACCGGAGAGGGGGAAAGCCAATGAAGGGTGGGATGCCAAGCAGCTGGAGCTTGGTGCCACGGAACCTTCGAGAGACTGTGTCCAGCAGGCCCCAGAGCTGCTCCACTCAGGTGTGAGGGTGCGGGGCACTCTTCTGCCAACTTCCGACCCTTGTTGGCCAAGGGTTGCTTCTGGGGCACTACACACCGCCCCGTCTAGCACTTCTGGACTCCCCACATGAGGACCGAGCCCGTTCCTGAGGCCCGCAGGGGCCCTGAGGATGAAGATGTGGGGACCCAAGGTTGGATGCTGTCGGTCAGGGTCATGGGCAGCTGTCCTCCAGAGTTGCACACAACCTTGGGAGTTGACTGAGGGAATCCGGACGGGGCGTTAGCGTCT